CCCTCGCCCCCCTCCTTTCCCTCCTCACCTCCCCTACACCCCTCCCTCTCCACCTCCTCCTCCTCCTTCCCTTCTTCCACCCCCTCCCTCCCCCACCCCTCCTTCCCCCTCTCTAGCCCCACTCTCCCCCCTCCTTCCCCTCCCCACCTACTCCTCCTCCTCCTTCCCTTTTCCCACCCACTCCCCTTCCCCACCCCCCCCTTCCCCCCTCCCTCCTCCCCCCACCCCCACCCCTCCTTCTGCCTCGGGGAACCAGCGCCTGAGAACCACAGAACCACACATATATGAACCTTATGTCGAGGTAATAAGCCTTAATATATTTACACATTTTCTCAGTCTTCAGGAAAATCCTTGTCTCTTTTCTTATCTCTCTTCTTCCTTGTTTTTATTTGTTATTTGTTATTTTGGGCTGCATTGTTAATGTTGTCATTATCATTATTCTATCATTATTATCATCGTTATTATCATTATTATTATTATTATCATCAATATTATTATTACTCTTGTTATCATTACCATCATCATCATCACCATCATCATTATTATTATTATTATTATTATTATTATTATTATTATTATTATTATTATTATTATTATTATTATTATTATTATTATTATTATCATTATTATTATTATCATTACTATTTGTATTATTATCATTATTATTATTGTTATTATTATAATTATTATCCTCATCATCATCATTATCATCATTACTATTATCATTATTATATTAATGATAAGAATAATTATTATTATCAATATTACTGTTATCATTATTATTATTTCATTAATATCATTATCATTAGCAGTAGTTGTAGTATCATATTCTTTTATTATTATTATTATTTTCTTTATTATTAGTAGTAGCAGTAATATCATTTTCTTACTATCATTATTGTCATCATTATTATGGTTATAATTGACATTAATATTATTATTACCAATATTATTGTCATTACTATTATCATTATTATTATTATTCTCATAATCATTGTTACTATCATTATCATCATTATTATTATCGTTACTATTATAATTATTATTATCATTATTATTATTATTATCATTATTATTATTATTATTAATATTGTTATTATTATTACTGTTATTATTATTATTATTATTATTATTATTATTATTGTTATTATTATTACTATTGTTATTATTACTATTATTATCATTATTATTGTTATTATTGTTATTATTATTATTATTATTATTATCATTATTATTATTATCATTATTATTATTATTATTAGTAGTAGTAGTAGTATCATTATTATTATCACTATTACTATTACTATTATCATTATTTTATTATTATCATTTCATTGATCATTATTAGTATTAATGTTATTAATAATATTATTAATGTTATCATTATTGTTATTATTATTATTATCATCATCATTATTATCATCATTACTGTTACTGATAGGAATATTATTATTGTCATTATTATTATTATTATCATCAATGTTATTAGAATAATTTTTGTTACTAATATCTTTGTTATTATTATTATCAATATTACTATCGTTATTGTTATTATCATTATTCTCATCATCCTTATTATTTTTGTTGTTATCATTATCATTATTTCTCTTATTATTGTTATCATCATTATTGGCGTTATCATTATTATTTTTGTTATTATTATCTTTATTGTTGTTATTATTATTATTATTACTATTATTATTATTATCATTATCATTATCATTATTATTATCATCATTATTATTGTTATTATAATTATTATTATCATTATTATTATTATTATTATCATTATTATTATCATTACTATTATTGTTATAATTATCATTATAATTATTTATCTATTTTATTATTATTATTATCATTGTTGTTATTATTAATATTACCCTTATCATCATCATCATCATCATCATTCTGATAATTGATAATAATAATAATAATAATAATGATAATAATAATAATAATAATAATAATAACAATAATACTTATAATGATAATCCAATTATTGTTCTTATTATTATTGCTATTACCATAAGGCCTTTCCTTTCACTTCATCATTAAATGTAATTCTCACAAAGTCTTTCGTCCTTTTCGTTATTCCATCCTTCTAACTCTATCTTCATAAAAAAAGGGAAGAAGAAGAAGTAGAGAAAAAAAACACACAAAAATCTGCCATTCATAATCATTTATTTAATTATTTATTATTCACAGTAATGATACAATAACTCTGTATGTACATCAATAATAGCAACTCTGACTGGGAATAAAGGGAAAGGGGTATTGAGAGGCTACATATTATGAGAAAAAAAAAGGTATTCATTCTCCATTAACAATAAAAACAGTATCTTAAATATATATTCACAGAGAGGAACTTAGGAAGTGTCTAGTCACGGCGACACTTTACAAAAAAATCAAGGTAAAAAAAATCGTTTTAAAAATCGGTTTGTGATATAAAAGAAATTGTTATAAATTAGATAAGTTAGTGAGAAATTCGTCGATTTCTCTCGCTTTTCATTCCAAAGCAATAAATAATCGAAATAAAAGAAAATGGAAAATTCAAGCGAAAAACTTTGCGTGTTTTTTTTTTTTTTATAGTTTGTCCTTCAGGCAAAGTGATCCAATTTTCCTTATTTTCTTCCTTTCGACAAATCAAACTTAAGAAACAAAAATAATATATATTTATCCAAGTATCACGTTTCTCAGAGTATGTAGCCGCAACTACGTATTTTCATTATACATCAAATACATGACAAAGATTTTTTTTCCCACCTGAGCTTGAAAAGAAGCAAATAAAAAAAAACAAACAACTTTCAGCTCTTTTTTTTTTATTTTTTTATTTTTTTTTTTAAGAGTGAAAATGTTTAGCCACAAGAGGACATTTGTTTGCTTGAGTTTTTATATATATATATATATATATTTTTTAGGGGGAAGAGATTAATCTTTTTTTTTTTGTCTCTCTCTCTCTCTCTTTCTCTCTCTCTCTTTGAGTAACATGAAAGAACAGTCTAACAGCTGTATTAGTATACTTCATATGTACAATAATTAAAAAAAAGAAGAAAAAAAGGCTAACACACTGGTTTCTATAAAATTTAAAATACAACATTTGATCTTGTAAACCAATCCTTGTTTTGTTCTCCTCTACTTCTCTCTTCATCTCCTCTCTCTCTCTCTTTCGTTTTGTACCCTCCTCTTCTCTTTTTCCCCTCATTTCTCTTTCTCTTGTATCCTCTCCCCCTTTCCCTCTTTTTTTATCCTCTCTCTCTCTCTCTTTTACCCTCCCTTTCTCTCTCTTTATTACCCTCCTTCTCTCTCTCCCTTTCTCTCTCTCTCTCCCTTTCTGCCGCCGAGTCGTGAGGCGTCGCTTCGCTTCCTTGCCCTCCGGAAGGAGGAGGAGGCGGCACCGCAATAAGGAAGCGGAGGAAGGACAGGAGGAGGAGGAGGAGGAGGGGGAGGAGGAGGAGGAGGAGGAGGAGGAGGAGGAGGAGGAGGAGGAGGAGGAGGAGGAGGAGGAGGAGGAGGAGGAGGAGGAGGAGGAGGAGGAGGAGGAAGAGGAGGAGGAGAAAGAAGAAGAAGAAGAAGAGGTGGAGAAGTGAAGGAAGTGCAGAGGGAAAGGGGAGGAGGAGGAGGAGGGGGAGTTCTCTCTCTCTCTCTCTCTCTCGTCGCTTCAGGTCACCCGCTGAAATCAACAGACAGACAGATAGAGAGACAGACAGGCAGGCAGACCTTTATATCCTACGCGGCTGTTGTGCTCTTAGGTGAGGAGAATAATAAAAAAAAGAGTATCTTCGGGGAAATTAACCTCAAGACGTTAAACTTCATTGAAAGACGAAACAGGAAGGATGTTCCCCAGCCTTTAATTCTTGCGGCTGTGAGTTTCCAATTTTTCCATTTTCCTTTTCCTTGTTTCGTTTTTTTTTTTTTTCTGTAAGGGGAGGAGGTTCGTTTGTTTCGTCTTGAAATAGTCTCTTGCGTAGGCAAAGTTGACGTCAGATTGCACAAGTTTGCGCTGGATTACGTAAGTCCATTTTTTTTACGTCCGTTCGCCCACAAATTCATAAAAGGAGAGAGGAAGCGGCCGGGGATTGTGGGTAGTAGATCTTCAATAACATTTCTTTCCTTTTTGTCTTCTTTTCTTCTTCTATTTTTGGTGCTATTAGTATTTTTTCTCTATCGGATTTTTTTTATATAAAAAAATCTTTGATTCCACCTTCTATTAGCGTCTCCTCCTTTTTTCGGAGCGGAAACATCCATGGAAAAATATTAGATCAAGGCGGAAACCACGTGCCGCTACGCCATTGGCCAATCACGGGCGAGCTGGACCGACCGCTTCCGAATGCGCCGCTCTGATTGGTCGGTCGAGGCGGCGCGCTGACCGTGCCCCAAAGACCGCATTTTCAGCGTGACTGACCGAGGACTGAGACGCCGCCGATGAGTCCTCCTGAGGGCGTGCCCTTCCTGAGGGACGTGGGCGGAGTCGACCCTTCTCTCTCTCTCTCTCTCTCTCTCTCTCTCTCTCTCTCTCTCTCTCTCTCTCTCTCTCTCTCTCTCTCTCTCTCTCTCTCTCTCTCTCTCTCTCTCTCCACCTATGCAATAAAACTTGCACACACCCTGGACACGAAATGAGCCATCAGCGGCGCGGGAGAGAGAGGGAGCGCCTATTCGCACAACTCGGAGGGCGAATAATGGGTTGACGGTCCCAAGAGCTACTCGAAGGGAATATTGGAATCACTAACGACCTCGTAGGGGGTGAGGGGAAGGGGAAGGGGGGGGGAGAGGCTGAGGGGAGGCGAGGGGGGAGACGAGGGGGAGACATCTATGTAGCGGAGGGGTTGTGGGGAGGCAGGGCAGAGAGGAAGGGGTGCGTGTGGGGGTTGACTAGCGGCAGGGGGTGGTGGAGGGAGAAGGGGTGGAGCAGGGGGTGCGGGTGGGGGAGGAAGGGGTGGGAGGGGAACTTGAAGCCCTCCCCCGCCGCCATGGAGGAGAAGGGGAGGGAGGTGAGGGACAGGGGCGAGGCCAGGGACGTGGCCAGGGAGGTCATGAGGGGCAGGGACGACATCGGGGGCACCAGGTACGACTTGGACACGTCGGAGGGGGACGTGGTGGTCGTCGTGGTCGTGTGCAGGATGTCGGAGATCGGCGACACGTCCGTCTTGATGAGGGGGAGGGGGGAGCTCTGAGGGGGGGAGGCCGACGGGTGGGGGGATATCGACGAGGGGTGGGGGGACAGGCTGGCCGGGTGGGGGGACACCGACGCCGGGTGGGGGGACGTGGTGTTGGAGGTGGGGGACACGACCCCCCCTTCGCTCGGGGTCGTGGTGGGGAGGGGGCTCTCGGACACAGGTGGGGGGGAGTGAGTACCTGGAGGAGAAGAAATAAAGAACATTAGTTAACAATAATACCCTAAATAGATATTTTTTACCATTGCAATAAGTCTCAACGATATCAACACAATGCAATGCAGTATCAACATATCCACTTAGAAAAAAAAATAAACTACCAAAAAAAAGAAAAAAATAAACAAACAAATAAACGAATAACTAGATACATGATAACAAGACAAAAAAAAAAGAAAGAAAAAAAAGAAAAAAACTTACCAAGCGACAGGTCCTCGTCATCGGAGTCATCGAGGGGCGTGGGTGACCCTGGGTTAATGAGGTCGTCGTCATCGTCATCATGGTGGGCATCACGTGACTCTGAGGCCCTGGAAGCCCCGCCCGCGCCCTGCTGACCTTGCATCATCCTGGGGAGAAGGGGGGGAGAAGGTCAGGACAAGGCCGAAGACACATGGTAATGGTGATGGTAGTTATGGTGGTAATAATGGTGGAGGTAATGGTAATAATAGACATGGAAATGATAGTAATAATAATAATAGAAGTGATGATAATGATAATAATAGTAATAATAATAATAATAATAATAGTAGGGACGACAGCCATACCAATAACAATAATAATAATAATAATAATAATAACAATAATAAAATAAATAAAAATATAATAACAATAACAATAGTAACACTAATGACAACAAACAAAAACAAGAACAAAAAACCAACCCCACCAACCCCGACACCCGCACCAGCACTAACCCCAACAACCCACGACCCAGTTCAGGAAACCCGTCGTCCAGAAGCGACAGCAGAGAACCAACATGCGGCCTCAAGATTAACTCCCGCAAACAAGTGAGGACAAGTAATAATCTATAGGAAAACAAACAGGCTGACACGCGCGGCTGAGGGGGAGATGAGAGGGAGGAAGAGGGGAGAGGTAGGGAGTGGGGATGATGGGGGAGTCAGGAAGGGGAGGGGAGGGAGGGGGTTTGAGGGAGTGGGAGTGGGAATGTGGGAGTGAGAGTGGGAGTGGGAGAGGGAGTGGGAGAGAAAGAAACGAAAGAGGGAGAGCGAGTGAGAGAGAGGGAGCAGACGGGGAAATCAGATGAAAAGAGAAGGGATAAAGAAACAAAGGAGAGGAGAAAAGAGAAGGGAGAGAAGAAGAAAGAAGGAAAGAAAGAGAGAGGAAAGTCGAAAGCGAGAGGAGGAAAGGTTGAGAGGATAGAGAGAGGAGAGAAGGGAGGGCGAGGGGAAGGCTCTCGCTCCCCTCCCCCCCCCCTCCACTCCCCTCCCCAACAGCGGCACAGAAATGGTCATTAATTCGTCCGTTACAACACTTTCTTTTTCCCCCAATAAATCCCTTCTTTGTCCGCCTAAACTACCGATAAACGCAGGCCCGCGTCTCCCTCTTTCTCCCCTCTCCTTCTCTCTCTCGTTCTCTTTCTCTTTCTTTCTCGCTTTCTCTCTCCTTCACGTTGTCTTTCTCTTTCTCTCGTTCTCTTGCTCTCTCTCGTTTTATTTCTCTTGCTCTCTCGTTCTCTTTCTCTCCTGCGTAATTTTTTCTTTCTCTCTTTTATTAAATGTCGTTTTCTCTCTTTCTTTCTCTCCTTCCCTCCTCTTACCTCTCCCTCCCTCCCTCCCTCCCCCCTCCGTCCCTCTGTCCGTCCCTCCCTCTCTCTCTCTCTCTCTTTTCTCTCTCTCTCTCTCTCCCTCATTCGCCTTTCCACCTGCGGGCCGAACGATGACGGGAACAAAATAGAGAGGAAAAAAATATTTATTGCCAGACTTTAATACTAATCCGTACCCGATGGCGACGGACGCTGAGTTCTTTCGAAAAACGTCTAAAAAGCGAAAGAGGGGAGGAGGGGGAAGGGAAGAGGAAGGGGGGAGATGGGAAGGGGGGAGAGGGGGATGCGAAATTGACTTCCCGACGGCGAGGAATCGGAGGTAAGGGGGGAGGGGAGGGGGGATGAGGAGGGAGAGGGAGGGGGGAGGCGGGATATCGGACGATGATTCCTGCCCACTCTCCCCCCCCCCCTCCCTCTTCCCCTCTCTTTCCTCCCCCCGCCCGAGCTATCCTCCTATTCCCCTCTCCCACCCCTTCTTCCCCTCTCTCCCTCCCCTTCTCTCCCTCCCCCTCTCTCCTTCCCCTTCTCCCCTTCTCTCCCTCCCCTTCTCCCCCTCTCTCCCTCCCCTTCTCTCCCTCTCTCCCTCCCCTTCTCTCCCTCTCTCCCTCCCCCCCGCAAGCCTTTCCTCGATTCCCCTCGCTCCCTCGCCCTCCCTCTTTACAGTAAACACGTGTAATAAGATGACGTTTATTCAATGGACCTTGTTACACCACGAGAGCAGGCTGACACTGCTGCTGTTGTTACTACTGCTGCGTGCTGTTTCCCTGCTGTTACTCTTGGTTCTGCTTATTCTGCTAAATTACTGAGCTTTATTTATTTATTGCAAAAGGGGTAAACTTTTGGAATCTATCTGTCTATCTATACACACACACACTTACACTCACACACATACATATATGTAAATATCTATTTACTTATTTATTTATTTAGTCTTTTATTGATTGATTTATTTGTTCTATTTCTTCCCCTTGTGATATTTAATTACGCTTGTTAGGAAATCCTCTGCGTCGTTACGTAATGATTTATTCCTTCCGTCCCTCCTCTTATTCTATCAGTTTTATTATGTGAAAGGAATCTTTTGCAGCTAAATTGACCATATCATATTAAGCTCAAGGAATAAGTTCATCATAATTATAAAATTGTATCGAGATGAATTATATTTTATGCATTTATTTGAATCTCTGAGGACAAACCAATGACCAAAGATTTTGATAACAATAAACTGCAATTATGAGCATTAATAGATATAATTTCCACATTTCTTAATAGGCTATAGTCATCATCCTCAATCAAGTAGATCATTAAATATCAAAACAGGAAAGGCTTATCCTTTGCCGTCATATATATAACTTATATTATTATGTAAATTATATGAGCGTGTTTTCGTGTCTGTATGAAGTGAATCTGTGTACGTTTTGATGTGCTCTGTCACCCTCACCCTTTCTTTCCCCTCTTTCCTACCCTCCCCCCCCTTTAATAGCTCCCTCTTCCCCCTTTCTCTCCTTCCTCTTCCCTTCCGATTCTCTCTCCCTCATTTCATTTTTCTTTTCATTCTCCTTCCTGAATTCTCTCTCCCCCCTCTCCCTCTCCTCTCTCTCTCTCTCTCTCGCTCTCTCCTTCTTTCTCTCTCTCTCTCTCTCTCTCTCTCTCTCTCTCTCTCTCTCTCTCTCTCTCTCTCTCTCTTCCCTTCCCTCACCTCACCTTCCTAACAGCCTACCCCTCCTTCCTACCCCCACTAATCCTCCCCTGCCCCAGCCCCCTCTTCCCCCACGTCCTCCCCTACCCCTGCTCCTCTTCCCCCAACTTCCCCCCCCTTGTCCCCTCACCCCCACCCCCCCAACTGAGCTCCTCCTTCCCCTCCTCGTCTTAAGTGTCCAGGTGTGGCTCGGAGACGGAAAGTGACCTAATGGGCATGATTTGCACCTTAATGAGAAGCAATTAATTAGGAGTTAATAAGGAAATTACTTGGAAGCCTTCGGGAAATTCCCTTACTCTGATTAACACAGAGCAGGGTGTGGGGGGGTTGGAGGGGGGGAGGGGGGAGGGAAGGTGAGAGGGAGAGAGGAAGGGAAGGAGTGAGGGGGTGAGAGGGAGTGTGAGGGGTGAGGGGGGTGAGAGGGAGGGAATGTGTGTGTGTGTGCGTGAGAGAGAGAGAGAGAGAGAGAGAGAGAGAGAGAGAGAGAGAGAGAGAGAGAGAGAGAGAGAGAGAGACTGGAATAGAATCTCATTGCAAATTCCAATCACAGGAAACAGATCCAAGATGGAAGATTCGCCGCAAATAAGAAATCCTTCCTCTCTCTCTCTCTCTCTCTCTCTCTCTCTCTCTCTCTCTCTCTCTCTCTCTCTCTCTCTCTCTCTCTCTCTCTCTCTCTCTCTGTCTGTCTTCCGTTCTCGCTCCCTGTATTTCCCTCTCTCTTTCCTTCATTCTCCTTCCCTTTGTCTTTCTCCCCTCCTTCCCTTTTTCTCCATCACTCCCTCTCCTCCTCTCTCCCTCACCCCTCTCCCTCTCACCCTCTCTCCCTCACTCCCTTTCCTCCTCCCTCCCTCCCTCCCTCCGTCTCCCTCTCCGTCTCCCTCCCTCTCTCTCCCTCTCCTCCCCCCTCACCTCCTCCTCCCCCTCGTTTCACACCCGAACCTCCCCTTCCGCCAACAAGGACAAGAGCTGTCTCCCCGGACCCTTCCATAAATCAATACTACTCAATCAACAGTTTATTTCACTCATTATCAAAATCAATGGCCGCTTCTCTCCGCCGATTATTGTAGGGTACTCTCGCGCGCTCTCTCTCTCTCTCCCGTTTTCTTTGCGAGGATTTATGGGGCCTCCAGGGGGGACTGACATATATCGCTTAGGAGGGACGAATCTTTTTACTTTATTTTGCGTTATGCTTTCTCGTTTCTTCCATCTATTTGCTTTCTGTTCTTATCTCTCTTCATCTCTCAAAGTTATGATAGATGCTCGTGTGTTCTTTGATAGTTTATGGATATGAATGAATTGTGAATAGATATGTGCAATTACTGCCGAGAGGCCTTGAGAATAATAATAATTATTATCATAACAAAAAATGATGTAGCAGTAATAATAGCAGCAGTAGTAGTAGGACTGGTAGTAGTAGTACTAGTAGTTAAAATAAATAAGTAAATATCATTAGTATCACGACAATAACACCCATGCTAACAGAATAACACTAATGTAACGATGCAACGAAAACACCAATAGCATTACTATCAACAAAAAAACATCGCACAAGAAAAGTCTACTTCTTCCATAGGCACTTTACAAGCCACGTATTGATCGAGGAGTTAAGGCCGTGTTTTCCAGACCCCGATTTGCCATTGCAAGAATTTAGTGTTTTTCTTTGATTCCCTTTCGTCTATCGCTTTGCGTTAAGAAGGTCGTTTTTGGTCAGTTGTTGGTTTTATTTCATCCGTTATTATCATTTTTTGTTGTTGTTATTCGTGTTGTGGTTGTGGTTGTTGTTATTGATTTGATGTTATGATCGTTATTGTTGTAACGAATACCATTACTGTGTTTTTATTATTATATTTATGTTATCATTATATCATTATTATCACTATTTAATAATATAACTACTAGCTCCACCATTTTTATCATAATATATATTATTGTTGCCAATGCTATGACCATCATCGTTGCAATTATTACTATTATCATCTGTAATTATCAATACTAAAATAATGAACACCATTTTTATCATTACCATTCTTGCTAAATCCATTACTATTAATATAACTGGAATAATCATGATAAGAAGCATGAATAAA